AGGATGAAGGAAATGATTTTGTATAGATTTTATGTTCAAAATTTCTTATTTTGTAATATTAATGCTGTCATTATATGTAAATTACTTGTAGGAAGAGGATGATGAAAGGTGGAGATAACACTACCTGTAAGTTAGAAGAATCCTGAAAGGTAGAAGATCCATATATTTGTTCTTCCAATTAATAATTGTTTGAGTTTAAACCTTTGGGAAATGTAGCAATTGTTTTTGTCCAAAAAGAATGCATCAATGTAAATGGATCTCCTGAAATATGTTGAAATCATTAGGTACGCATTACATATTATAGTTTTAATTATATCTACTTTATGTTATTCTTTTATATCATACTGTGTATTTGTAATTTCACTTTGCATTAACTTCATAAATAACTTGATTTATTCATTTTGGCTCTCTCTCCATAGGTTCATTTGTTGGTATTAGCATTGGCAAACCATTCTTCAAGTTCAGAAAAATTAGACATTATGGAGATTTTTGGTCATTTGGAGATAGATTATTGAGATATTTTGTAAACTTTGTTATTACTTTGCAAACTTTGTTATAATATTCTTGTACGATGAACTTTATTAACAAATTTCTGAGTGGTATGTAATGTAGCTTTGTAATTTTCTTTCAGTGCTCTTTTAATGTTAAATTTGGTTTTACTTCAAAGTGAATGCATAATACTATTGTGGTTTATATTATTAATGAGCTAGGGAGATATATTTGCGTTGATTGCTTGGGATTTAAAGATTATTGAAATTATTTTTTGTAAATTAAAGTGAATGTATATCACTAGCTTTTCTAATTTACGTAAAATTTCAATGGTGTTAAAAATGCAAAAATGTTATTAATTTTATTATTTTGATCGTCAAGATTAGTACCATCATCAGTTATTTTACACATTTATTGAAGATTAAAAAAAAAAAATACACTTCGAGCTAATGAGCCTTCAAAACAGCTGAGTTCGAGCATCTTATTCGAGCTTGAGCTGGAAAAAAAATTTCAAGTCTAGTTCGAGCTCGAGCTAGAAAAGAAATCGAGCCGATTTCAAGCTCGAGTTCGAGACAGTTAAACGGTAAACAATCAGAGCTCGATCTCATTAGTACTCAAGCTCATTTGGACTCGTTTGCACCCCTAGATACATCACTTGTTTGATCATATTTTCATATTTTTAAATAAATTTATTTTAAACTTTAGGGTTATTAAATGAGGAGCGAGTTTTCTAATCTTACGTCCCTTCACTATCTCCATATGAAAGGCCTTACTTCTAAGTTAGTTGAGAATTACATAATTAATCATAACATTACTCATATTATATGATTTTAGTGATATTACTCCTTTGGGCTAACTTTTGATTTACTACCATTGAGAGATATTCAACATGTTATTTACTAAAATAGGGTTATAATTTTCCAACATTCCCCATTATACAATAACCCCATAAAACATATAAAATTAGAGAAGTAGATGGATAAATCCCTTATACTTTTTTTTTTTTGAAGAAAACTTTTAATTTTATGCAATTCCTACTCTTCTATATCTCCTAAGAAAGATGATACATGAAGGATGCATATTGATAGAAGAGACACAAATGAAACAACCATCAAGTATACATTTCTCATACCCAAGCATGATGATTTGCTTAATCTAGTCTCTAATGCAAATTACTTCTCTGAAAAATTGGGTTTTTAAGTAATTACCATCATATTGGGATGATAATTAAGGATGCGTGAAAGACTACTTTTATGACCCCATATAACTTTATGAGTGTTTATGATGTCATTTGGTATTTCCAAAACATCTAATATGTTTATGATCCTTATAAATATTATTTTTAACCTATATGATAGAAAGCTTATAATATGTTTATGATCCTTATAAATATGATTTTTAACCTATATGATAGAAAGTTTTTAACTATACACTAATTATATTTTGATCTTTATCACTTATAAGAAGTATTTTGAGAATATGAGATTATTTTTTGAAACACATATCAAAGTGAAATTTTATGCGAATAATAAAAAAATTATTTCTTATACAAATAATGGTGATCTTGTTAGAAATTTATAGTAACTTCCTTAGGCCAAAAATCAAACCCATCAAAGGTTACATAAATGCTAAAATGGCCAACCATTAAGAGTTTTACTAAGGTTAGGAGCTTTCATGGAATAACCACATTTTACATGAGATTTATTATGACCTTTAGTAATGTTTCTACTATCATTAATATTTAAAAAATGAGAAGTTTTTGTCAACTAATGCTTAGAAGGCCTTATATCAAATTAAGATTCTGTATGTCTTCTTCTTAAATCATTAGGGTTTATAGTTTTCTAAGGTATTTAAGGTTACATGTGATGCATATATGATGGGTATATCAGGCATCTTAAGCCCATAAATCAACACAATGCTTTTTTTAATGAAAAGTTAGATTGAAGCTAAGAACATATATTATATATATGATAGAAAATTTTATGTTTTCATTCAATCTTTGAAATATTGGAGACCATATCTACTGCACAAGGAATTTAACCTCAATTTAGATCATCATGACTTCAGATACACAAAGAAATCTTAAATATAGATTTATTAAGTAAGTTGGGTTATTAAATGGTTATTAAATGTTTTTTTTTTTGTAATGACATAAGATAGGGATATAAAATAAGCCAATGAATGCCTTATTTAAATTAATTTTGGTGATATCTTCCTTAGAACTTCAAATCCTTTTATTTAGTAGACTTATGGAAGACTACCACTTTATATTAATTTTCATATTATTTATATTGAGCATTAAGATAATTGTTTCTCTATGTAGATTTATTTCATAGTCATTGTTAACTACTTATAAAGATGGAAACAATTATATATTCATTTGTCATTTCTTAGGGAATTCCATATTTCAGAGTTGCATTTTGTGGGAATCATACTTCATATAAAATGATAAAAGGCATGATGGATAATAGGTTTTATTGGGTCTCAATGAAGAGGTATGTTCAGAAAGCATTTGCACAATGTTATACTTACAAGTAAGCTAATGCCACTAAACAAAAATTAGGAAAGTACATTGCATTATAAAACCATGTAGGCCTTGGGTGTATTATTTATGGTTTTTTTGTTAGGGCTACCCATGACTATTAGAGGCCATGATAATGTAATTATTGTAGTGAAGATATTCTAAAAAATGGTTTATTTTTCACCTTGTTCCAAAACTATTAATTCATCTTATGTGATAAGGTTGTTCTTTAATAAAATAATTATAATGCATGGTTTACCTTCTACCATAGTCTTTACAAGACTTGTCATATTTTATGTCATGCCTTCGTATGACCTAATGAAATTTACTTAGGCTTTACTTTCCACCCTCAAACTAATGATCAAGCTGAGAGAGAAAATATGACTACTAGTAACTTACTTCAATGTCTTGTAGAAAAGTAAGATTTTCATATATAAACATTTGAATTTTCCTATAATAACACTATCTCAACAACCACAAAGATAACTCTATTTGAGATAGTGTATAGTCACAACTCTAAGAAACTAATTAATGTGGCTAATATTCCATCACTTGTTCTTTTTTTTAATGCAACTTTTTCATTTGCAAGGATTTTAAAGGCATTCATATTGATGTGAGGGAAAAAATAGAAAATAGAAATTCAATATATGGTGATGGAGTATATCATAATTTTTATACCAAAGAACATAAAGAGGGAGAATATGTATTTGTAAGAATTCAAGCAGAAATATAACCATAATATATAGAATTTTACATGTTATAGCTTGTGTTCCATTTAATCTTGGTTTGCCTACTTATATGCTAATCAATCTATTTTTTAATATTAAGGATACTAGCCATTCAAAGGAGTTAACCAACCTCTAAATTTTAAGATGAACACCCTTGCGGGAACTAAATCTTTTTAGTTGTAGGTGTCTTCACATTATACTTTCTTAGATGTGGAATCAATCATTGTAAATGAAGCACCATTGACGTATCAAATTGCTTAAAATAGATTTTTAATAAGATGTAAGGACATGCTACCCAATAAAGATGCTTGTATGATAAAGAGAGGACATTGTGAAGCTAGCCCCATAAATTGTGGACAACTATTTAGATTTAAACTCTTCAAATCAAAGTTCATTAGAGGCCAAGAGAATTTATGTAGAACAACATTGAGATTTATCATGACCTTTCACATGATCGAAAAGCAATAACTCTTCATCTCAACATTTCGTACTCCATTTAAACATGATGTATGCTACTTCATACATCAATAAATAGCATGACAAAGCTAAAACATCCTATGCAATAATTATGGACCCCTTTTGAAGCTCTTGACTTAATATGGGAAACTAACCTCTATAAGTTTCCAAATCTCAAATCACAACGTCATATGCTCTGTAGCTTCTCTTTACATCATACCCTAACCCTCCATAATTTATTTCACTAATAAAATAACCTCTAGTCTTTATCCCAAAATCCCAACTTCTCATTTGGAGTTCTAGGATTTTGTTCATTTTCCAAGAGGAATATATTACCTCCTCAATAAGCTACCACTTCCCCTTCAACCTTTCAACATTCCAGATATTTCCCCATTTTTAATCGCTTCCATTATAATTTAGACCCTAGGCACCCTACTAGATCATAGGAGGCCTAGTTTTAAATTTACTATATGATAGAGATATTTACATGCATATCACAAAATTATAATGTATTTGTATATTTAACTTATAAAATTTTATTTATTATATATCATTTTATTGTCTGAATAATATCAAAGAAAATATATACGTTAAATGCATATTTTATTTGAATAAATTAATATTAATAATATTTTTGATAAAATTTAAAATTTTAAGTATTATATATATAAATATTTTTTGATATATATAAATATCTCTTTTATAATAATATATAATTATTTAGATTGTATATTTTTCCAAAAAAAAAAAAGATTGTATATTTGCATTTCTTTAACGACTACTGACAACGCTCTGGCCACCGGCTACGGGCGAACCGTGAGGGTCAGGCAATCACGGTAAAAACTTGCAGAAAAACCCTACAACTCCGCAGCAAAATCCAAACAGTTGCTAGGAGGAAGAAGCAGCATGGCGAAACATCTCTGAAGCAATGCATCGAATGGGTTCCGTGCGTTCACTCAGCAGCCTGTTAAACTACACTCATTGTCAACCCCGCTTCGTTCGATCCATCTCCTCCACTCCTCGTTTGGAAAGTCTTGGATGGGTAGACAAGATCAAAGGTGTTTTCACCGGGAAAAAGCCCTCCCTCGACTCTTCGGCCCCCTCCTTCTCCCTTACTGGTTAACCCTTCTCTCTTCGAAACTTGTGTTGTTCTTTGGAATTTTCTTCTGGTTTTATGGTTTTGGTTCCATTGAAGCTTGCCAGCTTTACTATTGTCTTCTCAGACTTTGCGGATCAGATGGAGAAGGCGCGGGGTATGGGACTGCTGAAAAAGTTCGAGGTAGGTCGGTGTAGCGAGGCCACCATGACCGATGCCTTCAAGAAGCAGTCTTCCATTCTCCGCTACCTTGGGAACATCGATCCCACCGGAGAGGTTAGTTTGGATGGTCATCCATTCTTTATTTTCACATTATGGCTTTAAAAAGCAGCTTTATAGGAATGTAATGTGAGGGTTATGAGTATTATGCTTGATCATAGGTTTCTGGATGCCACTTATTGGTAGAATGTACATTACAATCATTTTGCTGAAGCGCATTTGGAGCGTTGGATATTTCTCGACACTCCATAATTTGTCACTTTTGATTTCATTTGATTCGTAGCATGAACTAATGTTCCACCTTTCCTAAATTCATGCATCATTACGCAATGGTTATTGACTGATTGTGTGAGCATGCCTATTTTCTGCTTAGCGACTTGGGTTTGTGCCAGATGGAAGAAGTTTGCCTAAGAAGAAAGATAGGGAAGGCTCAAACTAAGAAACTGCATCCATTATTACAATCAAAATTTAGTCGTAGATTGTCTTAGCATGGTTCCTACTCCTTTTTTCGGAGATATAATGGGAGATGATGGCTTGGTGCAACGAATTTTGTTAAAATTTGGATTTTGACTGTATTTTATCGGGCAGCCATTCTTAAATTTCTCGCAGCCTTTGAGTTTGCTATCCTTTCAAGCATGCGTGGATAGGACTTGTTAACTTTTTTATATCGTTCTTAATCATTTTAAGTCAGTCTATTTTGGAGGAAAAAAGAAAAAAAAAGTTGTAATAAATGTGAGGAAATCAGCTCCAGAATTAAGCCCCATAATTTTTTGGTTTTCATTGTTGCCAGTGTCTGCTTTGAATCCAACACAAGCTGTCAAAAGCGATTTTCCCCAATGCTGTTCAAATCCCCTCCTAGAATTTGTTTTACCCAAGAGCTTCATGTTGAACTAATTAGAACATGAAATTAAATACATAACGTGTAGAAAGTAGAATTTCTTGCCCATTCTTACATGCGATTGAACCTCTTTTCCTTCTCTTTTCCCCTTGAATTGCTATTTTCTGTTATGCTATATTCTTACATGTATACTATAAATTCTTTGTCTGTCACACCTATGGTGGACATATTGTGAGTCGTCAGTTCGAAAATCAATGTCTACTGTTTGTTCTTTTGTCCATTATACAATTATGATGCTTATACTCCACTAAGCTGTATTCTGGAATTCTATTTTCAATTGTAGAATCTTCAACCCAGCCATAAACATGAAGCAACAAAGCATTGCAATTGTACTATATCCGAAGTAGAACACATCTTGTCAAAATACAAGTGGGCTAAAGATGCACAAAAGAAGGTTGATAAATTAAAGGAGGAAGGAAAAGCATTGCCAAAGAGTTTCAGTGAGGTACTTCTGTTTGTAGTAATTATTTTTACCATTTTCTCATATCAAAAGCGATGCTGGCTTGCACCACCAAGATGCTATTGCCTATAGTTTGCTTCCTTACTTTCTTTTTAAAGATTCATGTGTAGTATTTTAGAGGTAACTGATATGATCGCGTCAACACTTGAATCATGTGAGCATTCAACACTTGATATTTAAGCTATAGAATATATATAGCTTGAATCATGCTACTCTTGTATATAAGCATGTGAGCATTCAACACTTGAATCACCACAATAACATGTAAGACAAGATTTTTTGAATTACAAAGATATGATGCAAGTGGTAATGACATAATGCTAATAAAGAGTATGACAAGAATATTTAAGCATATAAAATAAAGTGCAATATAAAATAAATCTTGATATAGAGAAAGTGGATACAATAATATTTATTTTTTGGCCCAACCTCTTCACACCTAAGCATCCTCTCGCTTAGAATTCAGCTACCAATTATTCCTTCACTTACAAGTTAGTGAAGAAATGGCCACTTCTTTGCCCACATGCCTATGGAAAAATCGATGCACCTTCGTTCAAAGGGAATGATTATCCTCACCTTAATTATGGAAAGTGCACCTCTGTAAGCCAATGCTTAGCAAACATTAGGAATGTCTTCTTCTAAAGTTTTTTAAGATTTTGGAGGCCACTATGTTTATACCAATAATTAGAGGTAACTCAATCTCTATACAAATGATTGCAAATATATAAGAGCAAAACTTAAATGTAGATAAGAAATTGATAGATGATGGTGTTACGCAAATATTACTCATGGAGAGTTGAAGAGGAAGAACATTTTAAGTCTTTTTTGAGTGTATACAACTTTCATGCGCAATTTTTTCTTCAAATTTTCTTTTGATTTTTATTAGAGTAGTTGATATTTAAGCTATAGAATATATATAAGATTAAAATCAACTCAAAATGTAAATTGTACATCATGCAACAAGGAAAACAATCAATGCCGAATGACTCCAAAACTAGCCGTTCAATGACTGTTTGACAATTAAGTGAAAGTTCTTATATCTATAATAAATTAATGATTTTATAAGATAAGTGTATAGTATTTTATATGAAAATTTACTTAAACAACTCTATGAATCCAAAAGAATAGAAATCAAGCTAAATTCTTTCATAAAAAATAATAATTATAATTAATTAATTAATAATTAACATATAAATTTATATTATCAAATTTAAGCACATGATCACTAGTTATATGATTAATAGAGTAATTCACACATAGTTGTTCGATGATTAATAAATCAAATAAATAGAAAACCAAGTCAAATAACTTGCCAAAAATATGAAATAATTTTTGTAATATAATTATATTTAAATATCATTCAATTTAATTTGCGTTCACTATTCTTGTTTTTTTGTTTATTCCTACTCAATCTAAACCAATGATTTTGGAGTTTGCATTTGCACACTTGTCTCTTTAATTGTTCATCTTGATCTCCACTTCAAGGTGCAAAGGCTACAAGCATGCCCAGTGATGTCATCATCATTATGATTTAGCTCATACTTGAATAACCGGTAGAACACTTAGCAAGCTATTAGATGGCATCATATTTGATTTGCTCATTAAATCACTTATGAGCCTATCATTACACACATGATATACTCTAGGGATCATTATCGGTGAAAACATATAACTCTTCCCTTGTGCATATATTTTTTAAAGTAATTTTTAAGCATAAATTACTAAATTAGAAAATTTCTAAGGATCTAGTTGAAGCCTTCATCAATTTCTGAATTAGAGTGATGTGGAGATCTCTTGATTTGGCTTCTAAGATGACATGCATCGAACTGTTTATAAAGGAATTTTATGCTTAAAAGCACTTCAATGAATTCAAGTGATACTGTGATAGAATATTCATTTTTCCAATAGTTTTATCTAGTTGGCAACATGTTCAGTTCTTGATAATCTTAGCAAAATGATCTCGTTTTCTTTTTAATAATTTACTTGCTATCACTCGTTCTTGACTTCGTTAGAAGAATATGTTTTGTGTGCCTATTATTATAAAGATTGATTTTTGGTACATTCTGCCGTTGTCTTATGCATGCTATTCATTTTTTTATAGTGTTAATGTAATACTGTATTTTACTTAGAATATATTGCAAGTTTCTTACCACCATTCAAATAAAAGGATTGAATACAACTTTTTGAATATTGTATATAGCACTTCAAATCTCTCTCTCTCTCTTTCTTCTGCCCGCCTTCCCTCTCTCTCTCCTTCTCCCCCTTCCCTCCTTCCAGGCCCTTTCATGCTCTTGTTTTTTTGTTGTCGTAAAGGCCACTTGCTATCTCACTTATGCATACATTCATATCCACCTTCCCCTAACCCCCTTTCGTTCCGTGTTCACAAAATTCCTTACCAATTTCTATCTCCCTTAATTTTAACCAATGCAGCTAATTTTGATTTTATATAGGTGCAAAAACTGATGGGTTCAACACCTCTTGACGTTGCTAGATCTAATATGCCCAAAAGCTCAAAGATAGGTAGAAACGATCCATGCTCATGTGGGTCTGGAAAGAAATATAAGAGGTATGGCTTCAATGCATTTATTGGTAGTTTTCGTTGTCTATTTATTATTGAATCACCCAACCACATCACCGTAAGTAAAATGAATCTTTTCTTGTAAACAAAAGGGCACAACTTGTTAATCCAATAGAGGTAACCCACCGGTTTTGTACATTTCCTTCCATATATCTATGAAAAGCAAGTCAGTGTTCAATCCATTCTTCAATAAGAACAAGGTCTCTCTTGATATCAATAAAATTGTGGCCAGCCAGGAGAACAGTCTCCTACTTGGCCTTTTGTTGAATACTAATACTAAGTAATCCGTTTTAGTAAGCTATTTTTATAACTTAATGCTTAACAAGATTAATAGTAAATAAACTTATTTGCTACAACCAATTAACTGTGTCTATAACTACCGATGTATATACCAAGCTTCTGAGGTATCAAACAATTGTTCCTTTCTTTCTTCCTGACCAATTTTGTCTGGATGGTTCTAGTTGACAATGACTAATGAAGAGGAGGCCATGCCAATATTTCTGTTCTTTCAAATTAGCTAAACACCATAATAATTAAAATTAGCTGATGGTGAAGAACAGCTTTTTGAGAGAGAATTTATCAGCTGGAGAAATAAGAATGCAACATATATATGCTTATTTACAGCTAAAGATTTACAGTAATTTTATGTCTAACCCAAACATCTCAACAAGCAAGCATAAGAATTTATTGCGCTTGGATTTATTCCAGGGATCAACATATCCCGTCTTAATGAACCGAAATTAATGATGTCAGCAAGCAATGCAACATATTAGTTTTTATAGATATTATTGGACCCTCCTGACATTAAACTACACTTCCAACTTTTTTTTTTTTTTCTGAACATAGTTTCCAATGCTTTCTGGCTCAGATCACAAATCCTGTTGGGATTTGCTTTGGCTTACTGAAATAACAATATTCTCTACCCACAATACTTACATAGCCGTAGATGTGGTTGAATGACAGCAAGAAATATTTCGAGAAAAGAGTACCAAGAACTTGAGCAAGAAAAAAACTACTCAAGAATCTTGAACATGCTTAATTTCTTTTGACTGGTAAGTTTGACACATTTGAACCAACAAAATGTCTTGATGGTTGGGAGGTAGCCGGAGCTTGGAGTCTGCTGATGAAAACAAATGCTTGAGCAACTGTAGGTTGCAGGATTGCTTGAGGAGCACCTGTACATCAAACAAGGTCGAGGAGGCCAATGAATTCCAGAACTTAGTTGATGTGGCTCCTGTCGCCCTGCAGAAATTCTCCTACCCAGCTTCTGCTCTATAAGGGCTTTCTGCCGTTGGACACCTGCTGCAAGCACCCTAATAACCACTAGAAATACACAATTATAAAACTACCCAATAGAAAAAAATCAGTTCATTACAAAGAACAAAATTACACACCTAACCCTTTTAAACTATGTCATTCTCCCCAAATTGAAGTAGACTCATCCTCAAAGTCTTGAACATAGGATTATAAATGAATTGAGTCGAGTTCTACATTATTCAAATGCATTCATTTATTTTCTTTTCAAGTTTGAGCCGAACTTGAACATGATCCAAGTTTTAAAATCTTGTTCGAAATTTGTTTATAAGTTTTCTTATCGAGTTTGACCCGAAAGCAAGTTTTAATCAAGCTTAACTAATTATATATTTGATGCAAATAATTTTTAAATATATTGCCTAATAACTTGGCATAATTGGATTTATAGATTTAATAAAAATTAGGATTATTCATTAAGTGTAATTTAAATTGTTTGATGATGTTTAATTTATAATAAGAAAATATTTAAATCTATATATCTAGATATTTATTTGATATTTTTATCATACATATAAATATTCATAATTTTTAAAAAATATATATTATAGAGAAACTAATACAATAATATAGAACAAATTATTAAATAAAAAATTAAATCATCTTTAAATGGGCATTTTACCTTGTTCTTCATGAGCTACTTGTTAAATAGTAAACAATCATGTTCATAAACATAAATAAACAAGTGAGTAAGTTATCAATCTTGTTCATTTATATGATTAGCTTTTAAAATTTTGTTCAAGCGTGTTCAACTATGTAAATAAACGAACCTAAAGAGTATATATAATTGAGTATCAAGTTGTTTATCAACTGCACTTGTTTGCTTATAGTCCTACTTGAATTGTTTATTGCTCAGAGTAGGATAAAAGATCTGCAATGTTCAAGGTTTTTGATATGTTGGAGATATCTATTGACAAGTCATTCCTATAGGCATTTTCTTCAATTTGTTTGATTATTTAAAAAAAGAAACTTGGCTTCAAGTTGAAGTTTTGCAAAAGGGTCATGTCTTGAACAAAAATGTTGAAAAGCACATTTTTGACATTATTTTCTTCAAACAAAAAAAAAAGTCATGTATTCCTTTTATAATTATCCAAACAACTCCGAAGTATTCTTTTTACACAACATTCCTTTTTTCAGTGACCAAATATCCCTTAAGTAACACCCGCTCGCCACACGTCACAACTTATATGTGTTCGTATAGCTGTCATAAATAATGAACCCTTCAACAATCACCGTAGCAATAAATGATGAGTATTTGTTGGAATGACATTGCACCATACCTCAACTTGAAGTTTTTGGCTAATCGAAAACTATACCAAGCATTGTTTTGCCACTTTGATTTTATTTCCCTTCAACAACAAAGAGTGGTTGTAAGATCTTGGGTGATCTTATGTTGAAAGGTTCAATTATCCATAATTTTAGTCGAAAGCAGTGCTTTAAAGACCAAACTTAATGGTTCAACCGCGAATCATCCATATGGCTCATTTAGTCCACCTTAAGAATCGTCTCCACAATGAACTAGTAAGAATTTGTGAAAATTGTCAGTTTGATCGACGAATTGGTTTCGACTTCTTAGAATTGATCGGTTTAATTGCTTCCCCATTAAAAATTGTTATTTAGCCTACAAATGAACCGAATCATTTGGCGATTAACAACTCATTTAGTATAAAATATTGAGCTTAACTAAATTAATTTAAATTTAACAAAATTTTAGTTTAGAAGGAACATTAAATTCATATAACAAAGATTTGCTAAGTAAGCAAAAAATTAGGCCTTTTTATGCCCCCACCACCCCAATGTGGTTCCTAGCACATGCACTAGAAATAAAAAAAAATACTATATTAATCTTACTAAGATAAAGTTCCCAAATGATTTAGGACTAAATAATTAAGTTAAAGTTCCCAATTATAGAACACATGTACTAAATATTTTTAAATAGATTTTTAATTAGTTTTTTATATCATGCATAAGATACTTATTTTTTAGTTAATAATATTTAAATTTTTATCTATTTAGTTATATATTATATAAGATTATTTTTTTATCTATTTATTAATTATAAATGATCTATAGGTAAAAATTCTAATGTGAATTTAGTATTTGATCTATAAGTGTAAATTTATATTTAAACCTATAATATTAATTAGCAATGGTTTATATTAAATTTATAAGTGTATATGTGAACAAAATTTATATTAAATGTGAATTAAATTTAAAATTATTGAAGATATTATTTGTGTATGAGTTTTTTTTTTTTTTATTTTAATCTCATATTTATAATATTGCATTATTATTACATCATTTACATCATATTTAAGTAGTTTTAATATTTATTATGTCATTCTATTATTCCTCCAATTCAACCCTGGTTAAACTGTTAAACTTTTGAACTCTCTCATTCTTCGAGTTTCATGTCCGGTCCAATTTTCACAACTTTGATTATAATGGTGTTTTCGCGACGTCCTTTATTAATAATTATATTGCACATCTTCCCTTGAATGGTGCACCAGGTGTGGAATATGTTGCAACGTAGCCACTTTTATTCTTCCACGATGATGAAATTTAATACTCAATGGATAATGAGCACTCACATTTAGGGGTGTTAGTGTTTGACACAACCCAAAAATCCTACCCGAGTCTGACACGAAAATTTTGTGCTCAGGTTGACTCGAATCGGGTCGGGTTTGGGTTTTTGACTTGTTTCAAAAATCGGGTCGGGTTCGGGTTGACCTTGAAACCCGGGAATGGCTTGGATTGACTCGCTGCTCGCTTGACCACAGTTGGCCGCCACTGCCCGTCTACTCTCCGCGCTGCGCCGCTGACCCACCTGCCCCCCACACGTCGCCTCCCTACTGTCGCGTGGCCCTTGTCGCGTCGCCTCCCCCACTGCCGTGTGGCCCGCATTCCGTCGCTTCCCCTTATTCCTGCTGCAGCCTGTAGGGTCATCGAGATATGAGGCTGTCGTTTCCGCCATCGTCGGTTGTCAGCCCGGCGTTACTGTGTCCGCGGGTCGGGTCGGGTCGGGTTGACCTGAACCCTAAGGGGCCGGGTTCGGGTTCGGAAAACAGACTTGTTTGCAAAAACGGGTCAGGTTCGGTTCAACCCGAACTCGAAGAGGGTCAATTCCGGATTCGACCCGAACTCGACCCATGACCTGAAATTGACACCCCTACTCACATTCATCTACACATGACATATTCTTGCCTTCTATTTTTGGCACTTTTTTGTTAGAATCTTATGGAGGCGATTCTTCAACGGGCAAAGTGACTTATCGATTATGGCAAATAGAAGTGATGTGACCTAACCCCAAACACTTGATGAGTTGAGCTCTATTAGTGGAAGTACTTGCCTTGTTACTATTTTCTCCTTAGTGTCATTTAGATGGAACATTTCAGGGTGGGAAATGAAATGTCCCTTCACGAGATTCATTTTCAACCTCATGTGGTCCTTGCATGGATGTTGGTGAGTAGTACTTGGAAGTTTGTTGTTTTCTTTACACTATGTTGGCTAGCTTGGTAACATAAAAAAAGGATCTAATATTATTGAAGCTACATCACGTTCGTGATTTCAGGCTGTAAATAAGCCAAGAATCTGAGAGTTCCATCAGCCTAGTTGCTGTCGTCGTGAGGGCTTCTTGACGCTAGAAACCTACTATAGATGCCTTAGAAAGTTGGGGT